GTAGTTGGCGCAATTCATGAATAACCGACTAGCTGACTCAGGTCAATTGGCACAGTTAATGTCCCCCTTTAATTTCAAAAGTATGCACACACTGTAAATAGATATTTGTGCAAATACAGAGTGAGGTAATCGTAACACTAGAGACAAATGAATGTCGAGACCAGGTTTATTGAGTGGGTAAAATTTCTTGAGTTTAAAAGAAACTTTGATTACGAATTGCACATTCACATTATATTTTGCCTTAAATTTGTATTATATGTGACTAAACATATTTCAGTAATAAAAGTGATATTTTAAATGTTAGAACAAAACTGTATATTTATTATCATAGAAGAATGTAAACATAAACATTTTACAGATGTTTTAGATAATTGTTAATCTATATCTATATATATAATACGCTAAGCCGATTTTTGTAAACAGAACTCCTCCCTCATTTTTTGACCGATTTTGATGATTAAAGTGTCAAAAAAAGACCCTGATCTGTAGTTTTGCAAAGTGTTTTTCGTTTTTTGATATCTTTATTAGTTTGGGCAGTATCTTCCATCAAAGGTGGGTTTTCTCCCGTAAGATTAACATGGAGGAATCTAAACATTGAATTGGAAAATTTGTCTCCACTAACTTGAGATAACGGCTGGGCTTAGAAACTTGGTAGAGGTGTCCAAAGAAAGGTCTTGGTCTGTAGATGAGTTATCAAAAGAAAAATGAAGTAAATTCACTTAGGGCTCTGCCCCAGAACCCTTTAGAGATTCCTCCACAGATTTGTTTACATTTTGGCCATGTGGATAATATTTTTTAATGAAACAGCTGTTAAGTTTAAAGATGTATTTTTAACAACACACATTTATTGGGAGTTACTGATATGTCCAAAAGGAGTATTTGCAATGCTATTTTCTGATTTTAAAATTGATTTTCTTCTGTATTATGTTATGTTTTGCAATATAACATTCCATTGCGAAATATATGAACTGACGTGACGTGACGAAGGAAAAATCAAACTTACACTGTGACGGATGGACCTCCCTTTGAAGTTAGAACAAGTCTCCTCAACAAACAGATATTTTTCTTAAATAAAATCATAGATTAATCTTTATTACACTGATGAAATCGCGGAAGTTTTTAACTACAAAAGATCCACCAATACGATTTTAATACTATTTAAAGGTTCTTCCAAAAGAAGAGATAACAGTTAACATACTAATAATAACTCCGATGACTTACGGTATGGGAAATATTTTATTCATTGAATGTTCCACCATATTTGGTAACTAACGCAATTAATGTCATTATTGTTTTTACACTTATTACTCTTTAAACAATGCTAAATGCTCAAAATATGTATAATTTCACTCAATTTATCACAGTTAGATGAATTTAGCGTAAGCCTTGAAAGTAACCGTCGATTTTGACGGGTGTCACCTAGTATTATAAATTATAAGCCAGGTATAATTGAAATATTATATTACAGTCTTCCCCTCTAAAAAGAGAACAACAGGTTGAAGTCTTGGTGTGGAAAACTCATAACTGATACTTGTGTGGTGTAGGCAATTGGCTTTAGTTGTTTTTTTTCTGGAGTAGGTGTATAGCTTAATAGCTTACTGGAGTCGTTGAATAGTAGTACCCTAGTAGCACAAATATGTATTTTATAAATATTTTATATATTTAAAGTTGTATTTGATAGAACCTCGAATAAAATATATAAATAATATATATTTAATAATAGTTTGATATATTCAAATATATATTTAAAATATTACCAAAAAGCAATGCAAAATATAAATTAAATATAAGTTTTGAATATATAAAATAGATTTATAATATATATTGATCAAATAAGTATAGAATCTATAATATACATATTTTATATGTATATTTTTCCTATTAAATATTTAAAAAAATTATGTGTTGAGAGTATTTTAAATATATATATGTAACATATTTTTGAAACTATATTATAGCCTATATTTAAAGTATTTATAAATATATTTTGAAACACGTCAGATATTTTTATTAATAAAATAATAATATATTTGTAGAATATATAGCCTATAATCTTTTATAATTAGCAAATAAATAATTTTCATCTTTTTGTTTTTTATAGTGTCTATCAATTTATACATGCCTTTTTTGTATGATAATTGCTATTGTGAAAGCATTAAAATTAAGTTAATAATAATACGTACTCTAATGGTGTCACTCTATCATGCAGGTAAAGAAAAAAATTACGCATATAGGCCTAGTTAAGACTTAAGAGGCAGTATACATGTTCGACAGCCTACATTTGGGTCAAACGAAAAAAAGTGTTGATGGGTTTTATTTTTTAAATTACAATATGTGATCATAGAAATCTCGAATGATTGGTTAGAAAAGGGTGCTAGTGACTGGCGACCTTTTAAGAAACGAATTACGGAAAAACAGATTAACAGAATCATATTATACTGTATGTAGTATCAAGTTTTTCAAATATTGCAACCATTGCAACTGACCGCCACTCTTTCACCATTTGAAAACTAATGTTATCAACAGTCACAAGTAGCTCAGAGGTGAGGTTGGATTCTGTGCATGGGTTTGTATGATTTCATTAAACTTGTTCAAAAGTATAGCCTGTTGTTGAACAAACGTTGATAAAATTGTTGAAAGGTCTTCAGTCATGATAGTATGTTAATTTCAATGTTTATCCTGTAGAAAGTGTATGAGTAATTAAAAATCCCGTCCTCGTCGCCACTAAAACATATTTCAGTAATAAAAGTGATATTTGAAATGTTAGAACAAAACTGTATATTTATTATCATAGAAGAATGTAAACATAAACATTTTATAGATGTTTTAGATAATTGTTTTAATATTATAAATTATAAGCCAGGTATAATTGAAATATATTACAGTGGCATATAAAAAATATTATGTGCTCAACAACGTTCTTAAAATATTGATGTTATTTGACATGTAAAAAAATCGTTTATTCAACATAAACTCCTTTTTCTATTAAATTTTTATTTAATTAAAACAAACTTAGCTTAAATGTTGTTCAGTTGTCATCCTGAGTAAGGAAAAGTAGTGAGTAACGTAGTCGGCAAAGTAAAAATTACAATAAATCAGCTGTTTTTTGTTAAATTCACGTAAACATTTATTGAATACTAGCAGAGTACCCGTCCTTCGTACGGGGTTGGCATGGAAGTATAAAATGCTTATTGCAGTTACGGGAGAGGACACGGTTTAAGGAAATTTGGTCTTTAAATTTATACGTTATCCTATAGTGTAGCACACATCTACCATAGCCCTAATTTTCTACAACTGCACCTAAACCATGGAAAAATTAAAGTTTTCATTGTGTACCACAACTTTTTGTTGCTAGTTGGTTCAAATTAGCTGTTGTAATAAATGCAAAAAACATAATAGTGCTGCACCCTGTTGGTAAGCCTTACTTTTAATGCTATTTAATATCATAGAACCAACTTGTTCAGTTGAAACGGCTGACAAAATTTTTTTTATTCCCTTAATATGAATACTCATAAGGCTAACATGAGAAAATCCAGAGCCAGAGCTACTGGGGCCGATCCTGAAAGTGTTTTTGAGGTAATAATATGTCTATATATTAATCGGGAATGTCAGCTATCATCACACCAAATTTCAACCTTATCGGTTTAGTATTTATTTAAGTGTATTTGTCACATGCAAAAGAAACAATGTTGGTTCTTTGAAAATGCCAAATGGTATCACTCCTACCATTTAATTCAGAAACAAAATATAACTGTATAACTTAACTCGATAATAGTACGTTTTGGTTAACTAATACCGTTCATACTTATTTAGGCTACCTACGATACACAACCAATGATAGATTTTAAGGTACAGTAAAAGAACGTGTTTAATGGTTTGCACTGTAAACAAAAAAACCAACACAACAGTTACAAACCGAAAAATAGAAAAAAATGGAAAATATAAATAATTATGGAAAATAGGGTAATTTTATACAACAATATTTTAGTGAAATTATAATCAGGAAAATGGAAATTCACTCAGTCCATAGACTTGCTGCGGCAGGGGGATTATATTGCTGTTTACACAGAAATAAATAAAAAAATAAACCTCATAAAACTCAGGATAATGGCCTGTCAATGATTATAGAATCTTAATTATTTCTTATATCCATGAATGATTTATTTTACAACGAATTATTCCCTGTAAAATATTATTACAGCATTTCACAAATATTAGTAAAAACTCAGTATAATAGATCATAAACATAAACAAATGAAGTAACTGAAAGAATCATAAACTTAAGAAATTACATTAACATATGGTTTGACAGCTCCATTTAAGTAATGTTAAATAATGTTTACATTCGGGCTAGTGACATCATTATTTAAAATGTATTATCCTTACCCTCTCTGTTCTAATATTCGTGCAGTATTTAATATGTTTGAAGCAGTTGTGTGGAATTGTGAAATCAAAATTCATTTGACAGTTAGTTCTGCTTGTTTACATTTTTAAACTTTGCAGGTTTGTTTTTTGTTACCATGGATACCATAAATCAATATTTACTTTTAAATCTCTCACCTCAAATTTTTAAAAGCCCACGGGGCAGAGCCCTAGGACAATATCGAAGCGGGAATAGTTCTATATGTATCCTCGGAGCTGTAGCTTCATTTGTGTGCAATTTGAGCCCAGTAGGTTCAGTAGTTTTTGAGATTAGCTCATACAAACACACAGACACCACCTCTTCTTTATAATAGTATAGATAAATTAATCCTGCATATACATAATCATTTTGTTGTTTTACACTACACACCTACCTTCTTAAAGTGATGAAAACTATAAAGATAAAATTAGAAAAAAACTAGACTTTTTAAAACCACACTTCTATTTTCAACAACTCATATAAAACTATTATGACAACAAAACAAAACCAAACCATATGACAATTAAATTAGTCAAAAGTAAATATTCATCATATCAACAGACTAGGAGATATAACATCCTCCCACCGAGTAGTATTACTACTCAAACATGAACCTTTTTGGAACTTTGATTTTTCGTCCAGCTTGTGTTTTAATTTCATCTTGAGTAGTATTAACTTCTTTTCCCACGTTCATATCTTTTGATGAGATTTCAAGCGGATACAATCTTTGTATCGGTCTCAACAATGTCCCATGTGCTGTACGAAGTTTTACAAGTCTGACCACACCACTCTTGCCTGGTATTGTTTCAATGACAAGACCTAGAGGCCAATCTATTCTTTTCATGTTTTCGCATTCAATAAAAACAACATCTCCTATTGAGGGTACATTTTTAGAACCTTTTACGTTTGATTTTTGAACCAACTGTCCCAAATATTCTTTTCTAAAACGTTGTCTTAGATTTTGTCTCAGGTTTTGGATATGTTTTAATTTTCTGTTCAAGCTTCGTTCATCGATTTGGTCAAAGTCCGGCATACCACTTTCCCTAGTTTCTTGAAGAAAGTGATTTGGTGTAAGTGGTGACAATGCAGAAGTTCCATCATATACATATGTGAGAGGTCTCGAATTTATTACTGCTTCACAGTCACAAAGCACAGTAGACATTTCTTGATAATCGAGACAGGCCCTTCCAAGCACTCTTTTAAGAAGATCTTTTACTATTCTTATTAAACGTTCCCACCAACCACCCCACCAAGCTGCTGTTGGGGGATTAAATTTCCAAATAATTCTTTGAGCAGAACTATACTTTTCAATGTCCTTCCAATTTATTTTCTTCAAAAGATTATTTGTTCCTGTAAAATTAGTAGCATTGTCAGAGTATACAGTTTTGGGTCTTCCTCGTCTAGCTACAAATCGCCTGAATGCTTGAAGGAAAGCTTGTGTTGAAAGAGAAGTTACAAGTTCAAGGTGTACTGCTCTATAATTGGCACAAGTAAACAAACATATCCAGGCCTTTTCATTATTTCTCAGGTATAAAGGCCCTGCAAAATCCACACCTGTTACCTCAAAAACTGTTGATTCACGCACACGATCAGTAGGAAGCACTGCGGGAATCGCCTCAAAGCTTTTACCTCTGTTTCTCTTGCATACAACACATTTGTTGATAACTGATCTAATGGATCTCCTACCTCCAAGTATCCAGAACTTCTCTCTAATATTGCTCAACAATATTTGAACTCCTGCATGACAATTACTTTTGTGATACTCCATTATTATAGCTTCTACAACTGGATGTCTTTCGGTTAAAACAATTGGGAATTTAAAACCAAAACTATCTTCTTTGTCACTCACCTTGGTTTTCAACCGTATTAATCCATTATCATCAACCAAAGGATCTAACACGGAGAGAGCTTTGTTCTTTATACCATCCTCAAACATTTCACTTTGTACAGTTTTTAAAAGTTTTAACTCAGCGTTTTCTAACTCCTGCACAGTAAGTTCTCCTAATGATCTAAGTTCTTTCTTCAATTGGCAATTTTTAATAAATCTTCTTATCCAAGCAACCAAACGAATCATTTTTGGATAGCTGGAGAAATAACGTGAATACCATTTTGTTCCGAAATTCAGGCAACACTTATTTGAAGGTTGGGTCTTTAAAAGTGTTCCACACCAATCACAAACTGTATCGTTACTTATTAGACTTATCTCAGTTCCAGTTTTGGATTTTTTCCTTTCTAAATTTATTTCTTCATTTTCGTACTGGATGTTTTTACTGACAGGCCATTCGTTCTTGGGCAATCTCAACCAGTCAGGTCCCTCCCACCAGCGAGATTCTGACAATATTCTCGCGCTACAGCCTCTGGATGGAAGATCTGCAGGATTTTTATCTCCAGGTACATGATTCCACTGGTTTATGTCAGTAAGCTTTCTTATCTCAGACACTCTATTCCATACAAAAACATTCCAGTTGTCTTGTTGAATCCAAGCCAATGTCGTACTTGAATCTGTCCAGTAATATATGTCCATATCTTTCCAATCCATTGATTGTAATATGGTACTTGTGAGACGTGCTCCCACCGTGGCGGCTAATAATTCCAATCTTGGAATTGTGGTTTTCTTCAGAGGAGCAACTCTTGATTTTGCAGACAATAATTGGACTCTTACTTCATCTTCAATTTCAACTCTCAAGTAAATAACTGTAGCATAGGCATCTTTACTTGCGTCGCAAAATGTATGAATACTACAACCATTTGAATCCATAGTCATTTTACCTATCCATCGGGGTATTTTCACTTTTTCAAGAGCGCTTAACTCATTATACCACAGCATGAATCGTTTACTGATGTCTGAACTTACTTCAGTGTCCCAGTCAATTTTCAAGTCCCACATACTTTGCAGAAGAAGTTTAGGAAACAAAGTAACAGGGCAAAGGATACCAATTGGATCAAAGATCTTGTGAGATATGGATAAAATGTCTCTCTTTGTGATTCGAGACACGTCCAAATCTTTAATACAGTTCGTCAGGTTAAAAAACAGAACGTCCTCAATATAGTTCCATTGAACTCCCAAAACATTAGTGACGAACTTGGTATCTCCTTCTTCAATGACGCTCGTGGCATGCCATCCTCTTAAATCAAACTTAGCGGCAGCCATAACTTGTTTCGATTCTTCAACAAAGTGTTTTAGTTCCTCATAAGTATCTACACTGGTCGAAACATTGTCCACGTAAAAACTTTTACTCAGCTTCTTTACCACATTATCATCATACTCCTGAGAAGTCATAGATTTTTGAAGATGCAGATCAATTACTGCCCCTAGAAGAAATGGACTACATTTCACTCCAAAAACAACTCTTTTATGGCGGTAAACAATAGTTCGGCTTCTTTCATTGATATCAAACCATAAAAACCGAAGAAAATCTCTATCTTGTACATTTAACGATATCTGTAAGAAGGCTTTTGCTATGTCAGCAATAACTCCAAACTTCCCTTCCCTAAAACGCATCATAACAGAAGGAATCAGTTCAATTAAATTTGGTCCATTTTCAATACAGTCGTTCAATGAGGGTGAAAACTTGGTCTTTGCTGATGCATCAAACACTGGACGAATTCGTGTGGTAATACTACTCTCCTTCACTACAGGTCTATGTGGCAGGTAGTGAAAGTTGTTGTTCAAATCGTCAGAAGGTACAGCTTCAATGATGCCATCACTTAACCACTGTTTAAAAACTGAGTCATAGTCTTCGGTTAAATTGTTACCATCCAATTTCTTTACAACTGTTGATAACCTCTTTTCGGCTAACTCTCTGTTACTAGGCAAAGGAGGATGACAATCAACCCAGGGCAAACTCACTTCATATCGACCTTCTTCATTTATAGTGGTAGTTTTTATAAAATGATTTTTAACTGCCAAAGCCTTTTGCTCTTTGGAAACTGATTCACTTGTATCAGTAATGCCTATAGTGTCTAATCTCCACAGTTCCGATATGTCAGCATCATTAATAAACATTGATGTTACAACAGTGGAGAGTGTAGTTGAACCTGTACTACCACTAATTATAGCCTTACCCATCAGTGTCCATCCCAGAAGAGTTTCCATAGCCACTAGTCCAGATTTCAGTTGAATCATATTTCCCGTGAATAGTTTACCCGCTATATCCGCTCCAATCAAAATACCAATTGGTAGCTTGGTCTCATGTATGTCAGTCAGAGAAACATTTTTCTCTATAAGTTCCTGTATCCAGGCACCTTCGGTAACTGGTGGAATTTCCCCACATATGGTAGTTTGACTCAATACCTCAAAGTTGCAGTTGTAACTGTAATCTTGACTGGTTAGAAACACACGATGTCTGTTATGAATTACTTCACCAGATTTGACATTACCAAAAAGAGAGTGTATGATTGTTTCTTCTCCTAAGCTTTCGTAATTCATTTTTTCAGCCAAGTCCTTTAAAATGTAAGAACGCTGTGAACCAGAATCAAAAAGAATGCGAACAGTCTCAAATTGATTACTACCTGGGGTTCTTAATCTTGCCTTTACTGTTTGCAGAAACACTTTCACTCTGCTACTTGATTTATTGGCCAAAGCGGTATCTTCCACTACTGTCATTTCTTTAGATACCTTATCAACACATTTGCTTACACACTCATTCACTACTTCTTTGGAATGAATACTAGGACACATTATAGGATAATGTTTCCTTTTACAATTAGAACATGACAAATGAGTTCTACAATCCTTAATACGGTGACCAGGCTGCAAGCAAAGGAAACAGCACCTCTTTTCCTTTAAAGTGGACACCTTATCAGACAATGGCAATTTCTGAGCAGCAAAACAGTTACTACTCTTATGATTCTTATCACAAAAGACACACTTTGTATAAGAGTTTTGAGTTTTACCAGAGGACATGAGGCATGAAGCTGTTGGTATGTCTATCTTACCTGATTGAGTTTGAGATGGCCTTTTAAAAGATTTCTCCTTCCCAGAGCTACTTATCCCAAAACCTGCCATGGCTAGACCGATTCTCTGTTCCCCTTCAACTTCAGACAGCATAAACTTCATTAAATTGTTGAGTCTTTCCTGAGGGTCTGTTCCTACTTTCAAAGGGCTTCTTTGCCAGGCCCTTAAGAGATCTTCAGGCATACAACTTTCAACTAACGGGTATAATATGGAGGAACATTTATCTGTTGTAACTCCCAAGGTATCTAATGCACGCATATGAGACTCAAGTTTGTCATATAAACTTTGTAAGTTCATTGTGTTTTTGCCTCCTAGAGCATTTTGTAAAACAATTTTAAGAGTTCCCTGACATAAACCTCTACCAATAGGTCATCTTTACCAAATCTGGCTTTCAAACATTCAATTGCTTTTGGATAGTTTGCACCAGTCGGAGGAAAACTCTGAACTACATCAAAAGCTCTTGATCCGGTAACTATGGATTGCAATAAATATTGAAACTTATCCTCTGAATCAATGTCTGAGTCACTATGAATTTTGCTAAACTGACTCCAGAAAGGTAGCCAATTGATCAATTCTCCATCAAACTTTTTGATCTCTATTTTAGGGAGCTTAAATTTCTTCTTACTAGCATTGTTACAGCAAGATCCAGAATGAGCACTAACTACATCGTTACTTTGTTGTAGTAAATTCTGGACTCTTAATTTTACAGCTTCAAACAAAGCTAAATATTCTCCAGCTTTGATTGTTTCAGCTAACAGCTCATCTTCAGAAACATTATCATTATTCAATAACAAATCAAAGATCTGAGAATTCAAAACCTGGAGTTCATCAACCTTTATCTCCAAAAGCTTTAGAGTGGTTTGAATTTCAATTTTGTCTGTGGTTTCATTTTCAACTAAACTGTTTAGTTTGCTCAATGTTTTAGAAAAATAAGCCCTATATACTGTTCTATTTTTCTTTAGATTTTCCATCATAGAGATAGGTGAAAAAACAAGTCCTGTCACGGTCGCCAAATGTTGTTTTACACTACACACCTACCTTCTTAAAGTGATGAAAACTATAAAGATAAAATTAGAAAACAACTAGACTTTTTAAAACCACACTTCTATTTTCAACAACTCATATAAAACTATTATGACAACAAAACAAAACCAAACCATATGACAATTAAATTAGTCAAAAGTAAATATTCATCATATCAACAGACTAGGAGATATAACACATTTTATACAATTATTTAAACGAGTGTTGAACGGTGAGTGAAGCTAGCAACACAAAACAAATATAACTACATATAACTCAGGCCCGAGATCTCTGACGAGCCAAGTCCGCCTAGAGTGTTTTATTGCAGCTGTATTTGGGTCGACACAATTGGTACATTGAAGCCAAAAGCTGTAAATAACATTCTAGCCAAAAGGCGGCGTAAAACATGAACTAGTGATCCCTCAGTCAACAATATACTCGATGACAATGTACAGTATATCAATTTATCTATTGAGATGGGGACGCCACGAGTGCGTATTTTAACCCAAATATGAGTGAAGGATGGGTGTAATGGATTGCGATCTGTGTAGCTTTGTTAGTGACTAAGATCAGCTGTTTCATTAGCCAGGATCATCTATATATAAAGTCAAAAGTACCCATGAACTTTTGAGAAGACTACAAGTCACACCCCCTTAAACCATATACTTAAAATGTTCGTCATGACGAGAAACCTTGCGCAAAATTATTCATTATTTCATAAACTGCCCTATAAGGTCGTAATTGCTTTCCAAAGGGAACTTTCCATTTACCTAATGTTAAAAATACCTCATCTGTTATTATTTGTTTGTATTACCATTACTGTATTCTGTTTTGTTTATTTCATCTTAACTTAACCAATCAATAGTTTTATTAATACTAATGTAGTAAAACGGGGTGGAGCCCGTGGGTAACAGCTAGTTTATTTAAAGCCCAATGATCAGCTGGGTCCAGTTTCGAGCCATCAAATAGCTACTGACTTTTCCCATCAGAAAGGATCGATCCGGCAACGAACATTATTGTTAGGTGAGCACTATTATAACAACTCAGCTACCCAGCCTGTTATAAATCATCATCGTCACCCGCACATTAAATTGTTAATCATAGCCTACAAAAAAATCGTTTCTTGTTCTAAAAAATGTTTTTGTACAAAAAAATGGGACTTAAGTAGTAAATCCGGCTCTGCGACTGCTCAAATATAGATTTTATGTGTTTTAAGATTTTACAGATTAGTGTTAACATCATTATTAGCAATGTTGTGGTTGTATTAAACTGCATCAATGTTGTTGACGTTTATTTATTCTTATGTTGTTTATGTGTGTTTATCGGATTAAGGAGATTTAATGGTGGTTTTAAACTTTTACTAAGCGCCAAACAATATAAATCAATACAAATAAATCTTTCTATTTGGTAATGCAAGTTTGAAATCTGGAAACAACTGTAAATAAATAGAAAACACCCTCTTGGGTATATGTCAGGGTTTTACCTATTTGATTTATGAGGATGATAATCTACATAGAGAGTTTGTTAAGCCAGTTCCAAAATTAACCATCAATATGCATTACAGTTCCAATAATTGCCAATATTTTAGTCCATTGCAAAGTTACCTGTAAATATTTATCAAACCACTTCCAAATTAACTATCAATGTTTATGTATCCATAAAATTAACTAGTGTAAAGTAACTGTTTGCAAATCATAATAATGGTGATAAAGCAACTGTTATAGGGCTACCCGTTTCAGTTTTGGAGCTATCATCGTGTGATGAACATGACTAATCGTCCAGATTTTATAACACGGTAAAGCCCAACTGAGGTTGTTTGACTAATGATTGTCGCTTGTTTCTGTGGGAATCCTTCTCATCAATAATGTGAGATTTATTTCAGCGGGAAAATCGGAATTCGTCCCTGGTGATTGTTTTGTATTCTTCTCATTAGTCAAATTGAATAAACAATCCACAATCGTAGGAGGAATTGATGTTATTATGGTTGAAAACCAATTTCCCATACATCGAAACTTTTTGAAGATAGAATTATGTTATATTTGATACCGTAATTGTCAGTAACGTGTAGGTCTATGCGATGGTTCTAGATTTAATATATTGGATTAGTTAAAAAAATATATAAACCTTTTGTTATTTATTTAAGGCGATGTATTCCTTTTAGTTTTTACTTTCTCTCCCTATATAATATGGAGAAAGAATTTGGTCTCTTCCAAATTTTCGAGTTTGAGTTTTTGTTAGAAATATCGGTTTTGGTCCCCCCTGAAAAAAAATGGATTTCAAAGTGATATCTTAGTGTGTTTGTATGTGTACAGACTATACCTGTGGTCCGATTTTGATGAAATTTGGCAACTAATCCATATGGGATCTAAAACCGTTTCTTTAATTTCTTTTCGTAAATTCTCATAAACCCCCATTAAATAACGGATAATTGGATTTTCACAAAACTCCTTTTTCGGTTTAAACTATTTTAATTAGAATTTAGTATGCTATGATCTTTTTGACTTTAAACAAAACTGCGAAATTCCCAATGCTGTAAAAATTACGGTCCTTAAGTTATTGCATTTCTTTGTGATTTTTCCTGTAAAATATCATAGTTACTCGCACCGCATACCCAATTTAAGGGTTGTTGACAAGCTAATGGGGGAAAGTATGTATCAGTTTGCTGTACAGTATACCATTTATTTGTAAGATTACCGTTTAATAACTTGTGAATGGTAATCAAATTTAGATCGCTATTCTGACACCACGATATTGAAAGATAACAAGTTTTAACTTGATAGTGTAAAAAAAAATAATTTAGCAAATCATAATTAAACTGCTATAAATCCAATATTTTGTCTTTGGGTAAAGTAAAACGTGTGCTTTAGCCTATTTACGACACCAGAAGACAAACATTAACCATCATGTTAATAGGGTTTTTCGAAATGTGTAGTACAGTATAAAAGTTAGTTAAATAACATGAAATAAACAATAAACAAAAACGCACACTCAACACCTCTGCATTGCAATACCACAGAACTAAATTAATACAACCCACGCCGGTCCTATAATGTCATTGTGTACTGTCACTACTAAATTGATCCAACTAGATAAATAAATTCGATGCAAAGTGTGAACCTGCAATGGTCCAGGAAAGATTCATTGTGTGTTTGGATACGCTGTGAATTTAGATTGAAACCGATTTAGAACGCAATAGATTCGGGTTTACTATTTCAACCCCGTTTTCAGAATCACTTGCGCTTTGTGGAAACAACTGCGATCCATAATACTAAAATAGAGCTTCATGGCAAAAAAGTTAAATTTATTATAAGATCCATGGGTCTTAATGTCTTGTACAAGCCTTATTTAAGTTAATCGTACAGTACCTGGGGACCGAGCTTTGCTCGGAGAAAATCATTAGTTCACTCTGAAAGCAGTCTTAGTATCGGAGATACATAAATCTGTTCCCAAACTCCACACGGCTCGCCTTTACAACGTCCTACACCATTTCCTACGTCATGGACCTGTTTCCCTCTATTCCCATAGCACTTTAGGATTGTAGATACCTTAATCTAATCGTTATTAACAGTTCCCACACTCCGGACAGCTCGCCTTGACTACTTCCTTCACCACTTCCTACGTCGCAAACATGTTTCCCTCCCTTCCCATTGCATTTAAAGATTGCAGATACATTAATCTAATCGTCATAAACAGTTCCCACA